GGTGTATAGTTTTCATTATAATTATTAATTAGTAAATAAATTTCACGACCTACAAAAAGGGAAACGTAATGAAGGAAAACGAGGATAAAGTTTTCTTATCTTTACATCTTTTCATCTTACATAATATTGAAGTGAACTAAAAGTGATATAAAAGAAAAAGTAGGTATAGACATTACTAGTTGTAGTAAAACGTGAGGAAAACTAGAGAAAAAATCCCCAAGAAATTACAAACTTATAAACAGTCGACCTTACAGTGGGGTAACTTAACTAGAGTTTTGTAATGATTACAAAGTGGCCAATATCGGCTGACTTTAATTGGCGGAGCCTTCCTTGCACAACTGGCTGAAAAGAAATGGCGGCTCGGCTAATGGCGGCGGCTGGAGGGTCTAGTTGGTTGAAACGTCCTAGGAAACTTTTTCCACCAACATAAAACATAAAAACTACAACTGTAGTGTTATTAGTGTCTTTGTACCAGACCATCTTGTGAACCAACCTACCTACCAAAGCTTTTCACAGCGGATCAGAAAACTGTCTCCTGCCAATAAAATTTATGCCCATGATATTATATTCTAATTTGGCCCTTCAGGCTTCCCAAATTGAAAAAAAGAAAAAATCTAAATCTATTAATGAAGCCATTTTCTCTTACAATGACTATTTGTTGGGATCTCTACAGAAAAATATTTCCTTGATCTGCATCCAACCCAAGTAGCACTTGGCTTTTCCCGCATGCTTCCTGATTTGAAAAACCACATTAAACAATTGAATAGCTAAGATCATATGGTGCCATTTGTCACTATTCGAGAAAAGGGCGAAAAACCTAGAGTTAAGCCCATACTTTCAATGGAGATTTGAAATCATGAGGGAGTATATCACAGTAGTTTCTTTATTTAGCATCACAATGATTATAACAAAATGTTATTTTAAGGGTAATTACTCTATAAAGTGAAATCTGAAAAATTTCACATGTGGCACTTTGGCCCCTTTTTAATCTCAGCCGTTCAAAGCTAGTTTCTATTCGGGTCATTTCAAGTCAAAGTTATGGCTATATTCCGCTTTTCATTTGAGTGTTTCGTTATCACTGTCTTTGAATTAATTAAATTAGCAAATAAATTAACAAGCTATGATTCAACCTACCTGAACCACATGAAGCTGTAATAGGTTTGTTTAAATCAACACCAGAATCATTAAACAGTTTCTTTAGTTCTTCTTCTGGTAAAATATGTCTAGTTGTTTCATCAACAACCTTAGTGAACGGTAAATTAACAGAATTTAGTATATGACCAGGCTTGATATCTGAAACCAAAAACAGAGAATGACGGTTAAAGCATTACGAGATGTAGCTGGAAAAGC